AAAATTGCCAAAGTATGGTTGTGAGATGCGAGCCAATTAACAGAAAAACCAAATTTGTGTTTTCTTCTTGCAGGGTATGGCATGTGTAGGTCGTACAAAAGTGTGTACCATCGTTCCTTCAAATCATTTTGGTGAAATACCGGGTATTCATGTGGGACAGTTGTGGAAATTCAGGGTCCAAGTAAGTGGAAATTTCCAGATAAATTTATTCTATACTTGATTGTCGCCACACCTGTAGTTTGACTGGTAACTGTAAATAGACTTGTGGTTTGGTATTTATATGCTCGATATTCTCTGTAGATGCCATGTGATGTAACATGCATGCACTTTATAGATGGAGACGTTCAATTTCAATTTGCTGCTTGACTCGTACTGTTTAAACTGTTGATGTGGTTTATTTCTTCAGATTTACTATCGCCTAGTTTTTCATTTCATGGATAAAATGATTATTCCAACAACTTGAATGCTGTTTGTATAATTAGGTTAGTGAAGCTGGAGTTCATCGACCTCATGTTGCCGGTATCCATGGACGTGAACATCATGGTGCTTACTCTATAGTTCTTTCGGGAGGTTACGAGGATGATCAGGTAAATTAATTTGTGAACAATTTTGAATGTGCACATTAGAATATCCATATTATAGAATGGTGTTGCCGAAGATTATTGCCATGAAATATTCTAAAGTAAACATGACGTTATCTGGCCAAATCCATTTTAGCATCGGTTCTTTGCAGAGAACTAACAAATATCAACATTAGTTTCATTGTCAATATAATTTTTTGACTGGCAGCCATTTTGTTTTTTGAAAATGTATCTTGAATTTGCTTTGTCAGTTTTATTCAAAATTTGGTACATACATTATGTTAGGTCTATGATAATTAGTTTTGCGATTGAATCAAACATGGCTGACTGGCGGACATCTTGCTTTTTGACCATGCATCTCCATGGCGTTTGGACCATTTTCTTTCATGTTTGGCACATACATCATTCATATAGGAATACATGTTCATGTCAGTTTGTTCCATAATCAGATCAAAGATGGCCGACTGGCATCCAACATTAGACATAGAGATACATGTCCGTGATAATTCATTTGTTTGAATCCAAAAGGACCAACTGGCAAGCCATCTTGTTTTTATAGTATATTTTTGACGTGTTTTTTTTTTTCCGCTTCATATGATGCATGTTAGATTACATGTACATGACAATTAGTTTCACAATCAAATAAAAGATGGTTGACTGTCTAAAATCTTGCTTTTTGATAATACTATCTCTGTACATGAGCCTGGACAAAGGTACTTAAAAATACAAAAAATGCATGAATAGCATATTCTGTTTAATTTCTGACAACATATTTCAATTTATGAAGTCGTTCAATACTTCAATTTCAGTTATTACAGCAACCAATTATTCACTCTTGATTACAAACTATGCTTTTGGTCCATAATACTTTATTTCTGGCATAAATACTTTTCATCCCAATTCCATTAGGGACTGTCATTAATGAAGACTTATTTTTTTTCAGGACGATGGGGACTGTTTTACTTACACAGGAAGTGGCGGAAGAGATCTATCGGGGAATAAACGTACCGCTGAACAGTCATGTGATCAAAGGCTCACCAAAATGAATATGTATGTAACTTGGGATGATTTGATGGTTGCCGGGGCTCTGAGTCGAGTTGTTTTTTTATTCTTTTATAACACTTTTGGATTAGGATCATATATAGGGTCCATATAATTTTATTATATGGAAACAAAATTTCACTTCTTGATACAGCACACCGTGCTAATTATGAGATAACCTTATTACAGTAAAACCTGTCTATATATAAACCGAACACCTCTATAAACTGAACAATCTTCTCAGTTCTTTTGGTGTTCGGTTAGACAGGTTTCACTGTATTATACATTTTTAGCCATTTTGTAACTTAATGAGATTATTGCCCGAAATTGCATCAAAAACATTTTCTGTTTTGTGAAGTTTGTGTTCAGTGCTTCTGCGTCCAAAGTAAACAAGAGAAGTTTTTAAATGTGATGACAAAAACCTACAACGTTGGTAACAGTCTACCCCATATTATGAAAATTTGAATGAGTGGAAATAAAGCGTTTTAAAGAACTGAAAATTTCTGTTTTCGGTTCTAGATAAATTAATTGGTATATTGCACAGATGAAACCTACTTGCGTCATCATAGTTGGGGTGTTGAAGAACAAGAAATGCTCAGAACTAGTTACAAACCTAGCGCAATGTGTTGACAGACGTATAGTCCTGTAACTTACAAAAAGCCTGCTTTTCACCTTGGTGTTTCTGTTTACAGGGCTCTGGCACTGAACTGTAATGCGCCTGCTAAAGAACAGGGCAATGAAGCGAAAGATTGGAAAAGTGGTAAACCTGTGCGTGTGATTCGAAACTGTAAAGGACGTAAACATTCCAAATATTCGCCTGAAGAAGGGAACAGATATGATGGAATATATAAAGTATGTTGCACTTGAAAACTACCTTGGCCTTTCCCATTATCCCATTGGTAATTTTTCACCATGTGACCGTTTTGCTGATAATCTATTGGCCAACATTTGACGTGGAATTTGCAAGTTGTTAAATTATATAAATTTAATCGTGTCACTAGCATGCAGTCCAATTAATTGGCACTGATCATGAGAACTATACATTGATCATTCAGAGACCACACCTGATGTAAAGAGACTTCATCATTGCCATTTGGTATTAACTTCATGCCTTAAGGTTGGATTAAGGATTGTTTATGTTCCGCCCTGTTAGGTTTTGATAACATCTTAACCTAACCCAATCATGTATATTGATTTATAATTACTGCCCAATCAAGGTCAACTTCAGAGAAATATATCGCTGAAAGTCTTGTGTTCTAGAGCAAGAACGAACAAATCTTTAAAACTGCAACTGTACCTCCATCCTCAGTCATAATATATTCAGACACTGTACACATGTATATGTTAACAGAGTTTAATTTTCACTTTCACTACTATTGCAATCTGGAAAATCTGTGGAACCTTTCGCTGACAAATATATACACAATCACATGTTGAGATTGTGGGATGGATAATAGAGAAATACAAATTTAAGCAGTCAACGGCATCATTAACCAATGTTTTTTGTGTTTTTAGTTTGGAGAATATTTCACCAATTGTCAAAGGGGGAAAGCAGCTTTAAACTTTTCACCACCAGACTTTCTTGCTCAACATTCGTTTTGCACTTGTATTCTTCAATATTTGGAGCCAATAGGCAAAATTTTAGTCAATTTTCTGTTTTTACTCAAAAAAAATTTGTCTTTTTGTCCAAAACTTCTGACTTTCAGGACTATTTTGTGAATTTATGATGAAAAGAGGGAACTGGTGGACAAAAGGTTAAATACCAAAGGAAATCTGTTTTTCACAGTATGTGATTTCAGTCTCTAGACTATTTCTTTCATTCATGGCGTCTAACAATGTGTTTTCATAGGTTGTCAAATACTGGCCTGAGACTGGTAAAAGTGGCTTTCTTGTTTGGCGTTACCTATTACGACGTGATGATGCAAACCCAGCACCCTGGACAGCTGCAGGCAAGAAAAAGATCAAAGAACTTGGACTAAAACTAGTGGTAATTGATAGTTTATTCTTATCTTGATATAGCCGTATTGGTTTCCTAATAATAGTAATCAGCTACATAACCTTGTAGCCAGGAAAATAGTTTTAATCATTTTCATTCACACTTGCAGTATCCAGAAGGATACCTTGAAGCCCAGAAAAACAAGGAAGAGCAAGAAAACAAGGGTTCCTCTCCAAATAAAAAAGCTACCAAAGGCAAGAAAAGAAAACTGGAAGGCAAGTCAGGAAACTCAGTTAACCGCACTAGTATATCACTGAAATGGAATTTTAAAGTGATTCTCTAAATATCATTTCAAAATTTTCCAAAAAAAAAAAAAAAATACACTACGCAACCCGCCACCCCACACTCTTGATAATCAAGCAATATTAAAGTTGTCACACTGTTTTCATTCCTAGAATCTCCCATCAAAACCCCATCTAAGAAGGCATCCACTGATAGCATATCTGGAGCTACAAAGAAATTGATTGTGGTTGACAAGGTTAATAAGAAACTATGGGATGAAGCAGTCGCACAAGTCAAGGGCGGAAAGGTACTGTTTTTCTGAAACTTAATTTTATTGATTATTCTGCACCAATTTAGCCCGTGGGACAATTTTTGTGTCATCTAGTTTTCTCTCTTCAGGCCCAGTCGCCTGTTAAATAAATGATTCTTTGTCTGAAATTTGAACAATTTCATGAAAAATAAGAGCCTGATTTTAATTAATTAGGTGTGAAAGTTTTGTGTAAAATTTATTACAATTCTGTTTTTCTTCCTCACAGAAATTTGTTGAAGCTGTTGAGGAGATATTTCAGTGTGTATGTTGCCAGGAAGTTGCACTTGACCCTGTTACGACCCCATGTCAACACAATATATGCAAAGTAAGAAATATAAACCATTATGCTTAGTCTTGTCTACTCAGAAATCTAGTCATTGCCAAATTACCACAAGTGCCACATTTTCTCTATTAGTAGCATTTGTGTAAATTAGTTGTAAATTTCTATGGTCAAAATAAGTAATGTTTTAGTGATGTGTATACCTTTTTATGCGTTTCTACATATGATGCATCATGGGCAATATTAATGCATTGTGGGTAATAACATGCTACCATACCATGCATTGAAGTCTGTCTATTTAATCAAATAAAATAAACAAATCTGAATTTTAGTTAATAGAACCAAATTATTGATTAGAAAATGCTCACATCTCTTAATGTCTTAACTATTTTGTTTCAGTCCTGCCTGCAACGTTCCTTCCAAGCTAAAGTCTACAACTGTCCAGCTTGTCGTAATGATCTAGAAAAAGGATGCACTATATCAATCAACAAAGAACTACAAACCGCTCTAAGGAAAATATTCCCTGGTTACGAAAATGGCCGATAAAAAGAACCTCACTTTACATTCCTAGATACCTTAATAATACTAATTATTAGATTTGCAAGGGCATATTTCTCTTTACCAAACAAATTCTTTGAGACAATCTTTTGTGACTGCTAATTTTCTCAAGTTGGACAAAACAAACTTGTTTTTTAAATACGCTAAATAATCTGGTTTCTAAGGACCAATCATTTTAAAATGTTGCAGCTTAGATCTGCTTTGGTTGCTTGGTAACCATTTTTTCGATTGTATTTTACAGCAACCATTTTACTGCACTTACAACTATTATTTTAAATACATAATCTTTTCTAGTCTTTATACAGAGTTGCACTTTATTATATCCATCAACATCACTGCCTTATCTTTTTCAAAACCAAAACTGCCTTAAAAAGTATATTTACATAGATTCTTTTTTACTAATTTTTGTATTTCATTTGACATTTCACAAATGACAATTCAAGCCACCTTGCAAGTTGAAGAAAACTTCTCGTAACTGCAAAGCTGAGATTTATGCAAGAATTTCCACAGCGTGTTAAATGTACACAAGTTCTCGATATAAAAAAAAAATGTTTATGCCCATCTCCCAGCGATAAGTATCTTGAAGTTGAGTTTTCAGAAATTTTGCTTTTTCCAAATGACTGTGATAATTCTGCAATCTATTTACTACATTCTTGATGTGAAAAATGGTGATCTCTCAAAAATAAATCTCTATATATTTTTACTTGTTCTGTTTACTTTGTTTGTACTGTTAATGTTTAAATGTAGGCTCTATTTACTGTGAATGTTTTAGTGTTCATACTGTTAAATAAAATTCATGTATTTTCCATTTTTTTCTTCTGTTTGTTTATTCTGGCGTGTAATAACTGATTACTTGTCAGAGTGCGTTCAGTTCATTAAAATTGTTCCGTATGAAGGTATGGCTTCAACCACAGAAGTTTGACCTCTGAGAGATTGAATATTTGGTTAATTAATAGACATGTGGGGTTGAAACATTTGTTTCCCCATAAGTGACTTGAGATTCACAACAAGCAGCTGAGATAGCGCCGCTGTTAGCAATGCACATTTCAATTAAAAAAACTGAAGATATTAGAACAATATGTATACTATCAAAGCAATCTGACTTGAATTTGAAAATATCACTTTACCAAAATATTCATCAAAATTAGATAATTGAAGATATCATGAAAAGAACAAATCTGAGAGGTTTGCATGTACATGTCGTACCTATATATGCCATATCAAAGCAATTGGACTTGCTGTTTTCAACAAGAAGTTGAAAATGTCACTATTTAGCAAAAATATTCATCAAAATGAGAGAATTGAAAATACGAAATTAACAAATCTAAATAAATATACACAAAGCATTCAGACTTTTAGTTTTTAAGAATTTGAAAGTGAAACATTGACATGGAGGGACAATTACTTGTATGCTAAGACAGCGGAGCTAAAAAAAGTGACTCCTGAATTCTTTTGTTTTTACTAAATTGCAAACGCCACAACTGTAGTAAGATGTTTTTAAAGATCCCTAAATCAATGTGCGATTTCCTGTTGTGCAGTGATGCACCAGTGAATTGGCACAGCTACCGGTAGTTGTATTCCGCCAAATTTGTTCTTCTGCGGTAACTAGTCATGTTGGCATAGAGGGCTCACTTTAACATGCACCATTCATGATTCTATTTAAACCATGCAAACAAAGCCTGAGATTATTTATATTGACAAAGAAATTTATTACACTGTACATTAGAACATTTTGGTAAATAAGTCCGTTGTATACAACACGTTTAAATTATGTACACTCTGTTAATCATACACTGTTTGAATACACAGCATTAAAATCTCCCCAGTTCACCTATTTCTACTACTGTAAAATCTGTATTAGAAGCTGTGGCTTCTATTAAAATGGTACAATGCAACAGGGATGCGGCTTCTATTAGAGCATCTACACATATGAGAAATGATGAATTTTTTGGTTCTCAAACATTCAAAAAGAATGGGTGCGACTTCTATTAGGTATCACACAAAACTCAACCTAAATTATGTCTACATCTTGGATAACCCCATGCTTCTCGTACACTGTAGCTTATTATAAATTTTGCAAATTCCGATTATTAGACTCGTTTATCAAGAAAGCTGCACTGCAATCTTGGCTTCCAGTCTGTGTAATGGTCAAGATTACATTCAAAATTTATTATCCCATATCATGGTTGATGTTTTCTCAAACCAATCGGATTACATGTTGCAGTGTGGATACAGTCACTACACGCCTGTTGAGTTATTCTATTGGTGCAAATTTACACTGGGCAGAGTTCATCCAAACTGATGGTTATAAGAAAAGTAACTACTAATAATTTGTCAATTGTACAAAAAGAAAAATTTCTGCAAATGAAATTAAATCATTGATGATCTTTTCATGTTAATATTGTTTTGATATTTTAGTGTCATCACAATGGGTTAACATTTATATCTAATATTCATATAGTATTAACATTCACTAAAAAGCAATTTAATATTTTTGTTGAGGAATGTGTGGGGAAAAAACCAGACACCCGACTCCATGACTACTTGGAAGCCTACAATTATTAAAGATGGATATTCATATCTCATCAACTATTTTCTTATGTCACATGATTAGATGACGAGTTAGTTTTTATGAAATAACTTCTAAAATTGAAAATATTTTTTTTTTTTATGTTATCAACACAAATATTTTAAACTCCATACCAAAGGCATACAAAATAGAATTCAAAACGTTCAGTAAAAACAATCAAAAATATCTATTAAAAATTTAACCCAAGGTTAAATTTGGACTCTTAAAATATGAAGTGCAATTTCTCATTGTATTTCTAGTTATAGAATAGACTAGTTTCTGGTTGCTTAGCAACCATGCATGCAATCAACGTGGATTCATCCTGGTCAGCAGAAATAGGCATCCTATATTACCTTTGAAAGTTCACAAACTTTTATAAAATGTAGAATATGAATGAATCAAAATGAATAGGTCAAAATGTCATTTATATTCGGTAAGGTATCCGTAGATGAACACTGGTTGTAAAATTGATCCCGCTTTCCGTGGTGAATGCCTTCAGTCATGTGGTAAGAATGAAACATACCCAGAACACGAAACTAGTCTATTTCAATAAATTGGGAAATGTCCCCTTAGTTTGCTGAAATTAAGTTCTTACAATGTGTACATCATACATAATGGCAAAAAATGCATAGTTCGGCAGTGATTTGGAAACAATTGTCATAATTCAACAACATATTCCAACAAATACTAGAAATTTACAATTTTCTAGGAAAATTAAATATTGAATGTGAAAATCACTATATTACTATTACTCCATGAATATTAGATAGAATTATACCTTTTTCATCATCAAATTTCACAAGAAAATAGACAAATTGTCAAATTTGGGTTATGAGGTACTCTACAAAGTACTCCAAGTATCATGCCTTCCACTGTCATAGCGGTTAAACATAGTGCCTTGTTCCTTGACATTCTCAACTTTAGTGGGTCACTTTCGAAAATGTTGTTTTATATGAAATTTATTTTCACAAAAGTGGAAAAATCAGCAAAAATTATTTCTAGCTAAAAGAATCAAAAGTAGATCATTCCTGAGATGTTTGAAAACAATTGTTATTGCAGTGCAATCCAATGAACCAGCTAGCGCCCTCTATGCCAGAGTTCATAAAAACAACAGTTTCATCAAATCTGCCTCAAGGGGGCATGTGATCAGTAAACTGAGAAATATCAAAAAGCATTCTACTGTAACAGTGAAAATACATTTTGTATGTTCTGAAAGAATGTGGAAAACCTTGTCATGATGATGGTTTGGTTGATCATTCTTGGCAACCAATAGAAAATCAGTGAGCTATATTGGAAGCCCAGCATTAAATAACTAAAAAAACATCAAAGGAACATTTTCATGCAGACTATTTTTTTGCTTCAACAACAAAATGTGCCCTTTTTATCTCTAAAAAATTGGTGCAAGGATACCTACACCCCTGAAAAATAATAGTTTGACCCTAAGTTATCTAGCTGCTAGGCGACTGAGAGTGTAGATCTTGCCAAGGAGGGGGAGGGATTGATTTGATACTGGTCATAACAAATATTGTAAATTGCTGAGTTTTCATGATTTAATAATGTTCGCAAGGACTAACGAAAATTTGTCACATGCAAATTAAAGCTGTCTATACATAGATTACAAGTGGACAGGGACTACAGTCAAGAATATGCATTTACAGCAGGTGCCAAAAGAAACTGATCATAAAAACTGCTATCTTCCTGTCAATTTCCCATGCAATATTGCAGTATCCCTTGGAACACTCCTAGTGGAGTTTTAACTACGCCATTTTCAATCTCAACAAACCCACACTCCTGGACACAACCATTTTCGCAAAGGATGTTGGGCAGTAAAAATGACAGTAAGGAAATTAGGTACAGCATACAATTTTGGTTGTTTTTCATTTTTTTCCCACAAAACCCACATTTTAAAATGTCATTACAAACACTTCTAAGAATGTTCCAAGAAATATGGCAATGTATTAAGGGAAATAGACATAGAGAACAGTTTTCATGATCATTTGATTTTGGTACCTGCAAAAGCATTCATAAACTGGCGATGAAATCAACTTCCTTCTCAATCATGGAATCACCACAGTGCACTCAGTAATGTAGCAACTAGATAACTCAAAACTCGTATATTTTGCAAAATTTACTGTTATGACCATAAAGTAACAAGAACTCATGGGAAAATATTGGTGGAAAAACAGATTAGTGAAAATTACAAAAAACTTAGACATTTTGTGAAATATTATTTAACTGTCTGCATTTCCTCCCAAAAAAAGACAACATTTGTCAAATGAAAGTTCAGCTTAATTGGAGGACTAATGTTTTCTTTATAAATTAAAAAAAAATCTTTTTTTGAATTTTTTTTTGAAAAGATCATAAATCATAATCACAAATGAGAAGACTGCACTAACGTGATGTAGCCGTAAACATAACAACCCAATCGAAAGAATTCCCAAAATGAAAATTGAAATATAAATGATGATATAAAGTACAAATAGGTGACTTTCACAAAACAGAATTTAACAACGGCTTCGGAAAAAAAACGATGGATTCACTGATACGAATACTGATTACTAAAAACATACCCCGATATATCATCACTCACACCTGTAGAGTACTGTTTCTATTCAGGAAGATATTTCACTATTTATAAACAAAATTCATCATTTAACGGTACTAGTACTGTCTCACTGTCTCAAAACTGGATAACTAATATATATACACTACACACACTTCTCAGCAAGCGATATAATCAACTTTGTACTGCTAAATAACTCGTTATATTAATTAAGTATCACACCTGAATAATCAATTTGCTGATGTAATTGAGAACAAATTGTTTCTAAGGTAGGATAAGAAAATGAATGAGGCATTAATTTGATG